ATTTGTAAGGTCCATTCCAGCCATGGCCCAATAAATCACAGTTACTTACTCTCCTCCCAGCCCCACAAGGAGCTTTAGCAAATTTATTTTCCTCTGGGTTTCTTCAGCACTTATAACAAGTTCAATAGGTTTTTAAAAAAATCTGCTGAATAAAGAGTACCCTAAAACAATGGGTACAACTATAGTATATTTCAGGATTTTTCAAAATAATAAGGTAATTGAATGATCAAGGTAAGGCAATTAATATTACTAATAATTATTAGTACAAAATAATTAATACAAAAGAATACAAAATAACCTATGTTAGTACTTTTCTAATACAGATTAAAAAAACAAAAAAACTAACCTCAATTTAAAAGAAAGCTTTGTTTCCCCAGAATAGGTAAATTGGCAACATTACACTGGCAGATTTACTGTGAACAGGTGAAAACTTCATTATGTACTAGTCTTGGCCCACAGACCAATATTTGGGACCCTTTGCTCTAAAAAATATGTCCATTGCAAGTCTCACCATATCCCTGCCTCTGGTTTTCATGATTTAGAGGATCTATATTTAGGTCATCAGAGGAGCCCCTTTCAAACCTTCATAACTAAACTCAACATCCCAGCAATAACGGAGTCAAGACCACTAGGATTCCATTTTGTTTCATGCAGCACCTCACAAAGCATCAGTGCCTTGAGTTTATAAAACACTTTACCATCCAGTAGTTCACTGGGTGCCCACAGTGGCCACAGGCTGGTAGGAAGAACATGTCTTTGCGTATTGGAGTACCTGGGTCCTGGTGGGGTGTGAGCTGGCACAGACATGCCCCTGAGGAGCTGGGCAAACCTCCTCTAATCTCGCTCCATTATCTTAAGTGCGTGGGGCCTCTCACCCTTGAGAAATGACTTTCTAATGAGAGCAGAACCTGCCTGAGTGGAGAGAGAGGTCAGGGAGGGGCAGAGTGGGTTCTAGGTTCTAGGCAGACAGAGGACAGAGTAGTCGGGCAAAGCTCCCCAGAGGAAAGTCATGTCACGGAGGAAAACACACCAAGCTTCTGGGCGGAAGGGGCAGCCGGCGGGAAGGCCCACAGACAGGAGAGCCTGGGGGTTTCTAGCAGGAGCTGGAGAGGAGACAGCGAGCTCGCATCACACACTAATGACTGTACCTGTCCGCGCGCCTCTATGCTCTGTCTCAGTAAAGAGGACCAGCCACCCCGTTTCTCAGCCAGAATCCTGGGGTTCCATGATGTCTCCCTTTCCACAGGCCCTACCCCACTGGCAGCCACAGGGGCCTGTTGCCCCTACTGCCAGATTCCGCTCTGGGTCTGACACCATCACCTCTCGTGACTTCAGGGCCTCCTAACAGGTGTCCCAAGGCCAACCCTCACCCTGTGGAGTCCACTTCCACAGGGCAGCCTAAGCGCTATTTTAAATACAAGGCTGACTGCTTCACTCCCTATGTGAAGCCTCTCCACAACTTCTCTCTCATTTAGAATAAAATCCAGGCCCCTGGTCTCCACCCCCGGGACCCTGTGTGTCAGCCCCTTCTCTCCCGCCTACCTCACATCTCACCTCGGTCCTAACGGCCCTCTCCAGCCTCACTCACCTCCACCCAGGCGCCCAGCATGCCACGCTGCACACCAGGTCAGGTTCTTCCTGGCCTGTCCCTGCCCCCTCCTCCCTTCTGTGAGTCATCTCCCAGCTGTCAGCGCTGCTTCCTCAGGGGAGGATTTCTCTGTCCCCAAAGTAGGTTAGCAATTTAGCAATCCCACTTCCCATCAGTCACTCTCATAACACCAATCACTTCTCATCCTTCACTTACTTCTATTCTATTGGAATGAAGTCATTATCTGTATCTTTCCCCCCAACTCAGGCATAAACTTGGTTTTATTCATCTGTGTACACCCAGGGCCAAGCACAAGGACTGGTGCATGACGGGGGCTAATTAAATGGCTTTTAAATCATAAAAATGAATAGGAAAAGAAAATTAATAAAAAGATGATCAAGGAAGACATGTATGCTGAGGAGTCTGAATGGCTCATAGCTACTCTACGGAAGACATGCTGCAGGTTTCAGTGGGATCGCATCAGCTTTGCAGCGAGCTGAGAGCAGCAGGGTGGAGGGGAGACGGGCCGGGCATGGAGAGACGAGTTGGGATGGGGGCAGCTGCTGCAGTGACCAAGGTGGACGTGACTGAAACCTCAAAATGGAGCAGAGTGTGGAGTAGAGTGCAGGGAAAGAGCGAAGAGCTAAGGGCGTAGGTCTGGAGAACTTGTTAGTTTGCTGGAAGCCACAGGTCCAGTGGGGGTGGAGGTGTCAGGGCTTGATTCAGACTCAGACAACAGGCAGGTCAATGATGCCATCTGAGAAGGCGGGACCCGGGAGAGCACAAGGACATATGCAGAAGTATTAGTTTCCTAAGGCTGCTGTAACAAATTACCACCGACTGGGTGGTTTAAAACAACAGAAGCATATTCTCTCATAACTCTGGAAGTCAGATGTGTGAAACCGAGTTGTTAGCAGGGTTGGCTCTTTCTGGAGGCTCTGAGGGAGTGTGTTAGTCAGGGTTCTCCAGAGGAACCAGGATTATGGAAGCAGAGGAGTCCTGCAGTCTCCCCTCTGCAAGCTGGAGACCCAGGAGAGCCAGCGGTGTAGTAACGTCTAGGTCCAAAGACCTTGAGAACCAGGGGAGATGGTTCTGAGTAGCAGGCAGGAGAAGACCAATGTCCCAGCTTGGCAGTCAGGCAGAAGGGGTGAATTCTCCCTTCCTCTGCCTTTTGTTCTATCCATCCCCTCAATGGATCGGTGAGGCCCACCCACATGGGGAGGCCAATCTGCATTACCGAGTCCACCGATTCAAATGCTACTCTCTTCCAGAAGCATCTTCACAGACACGCCCATAAATAATCAACCAGATACCTGACCCCAGAGCCAAGTCAAGTTGACACATGAAATTAATCACCACAAGGAGAAGGCAAACTATACCATTGTCCTCATGTCTTGTGGCTTCCGGCGATCCTTGACATTCAATGGCTTGTAGACACATCCCTCCAGCCTCTGCCTCTGTCTTTCTATTGCCTTCTTTCTGTTGTGTCTCTGTGTGCCAAATCTCTCTTGGCCTTTCTTTTATAAGAATACATGTCATTGGATGTAGGGCCCACCCTAAATCAAGATGATCTGATATAGAGATTCCTAACTCTATATCTGCAAAGACTCTTTTACCAAATAAGGTCTCACTCACAGGTACTGAGGCCTTAGGACCTGGACATACCTTTGCGGAGACCATGTTGAACTCACTACACAGGAGATGTGGAAATGCTAACTCCCATAGGTGTGTTTTGCCACATTTTGAAGGCTTGAGAGAAAGAGCCAACTATCTAGAGATCATTCCAAGATCAGGGTGAGCTTAGGTTGAAACAAGGTGGTACCAGGAACTAGAAAGCCCACCCAAGGGATACAGACCAAATCCTATGGGCATCAACAAACAGTAGACCAACTGCAGAACGATGCCTAAGAGGTTAATGAAGACAATCTGCAACCCATTTCTTGCTCAATAATGAATTTACTCCCCGTAGCCACAGCACAAGTACTTTTGATAGCTGACATCCAGAATAAACCCAGCATAAAATGATATACCAACCAAGCTGCCGGAAGAGTGTTCAGTCTTAGTATTTTGAAACTAGAAAGGAAAATACTGGCTCAATCATGGGGTGCCTTCCTCCTCCATTCAGCCATTTACGTGTTAAAGAACGGTGTCTGAGTAGCCTCGTGTGTGGGGCTGGAAGTGGCAAGAGTGGCTCAGCCAGGTTCTCTCCCTCAGGTGATCACAGGACAGTGGGCGTCTCATCCTCAGGGCCACTGACATTTGCATCCAGATCCTTCTTCACTATGGGGAGGTGCACTGGAGGATGTTTGGTATCATCCTGGAAGCCAGTAGCTCCCCGCTCCCCATAGTTGTGAAAAACAGAAATATCTCAAACATTGCCAGATAGCCCCTGGGAACAAAACTGCCCCCGGTCGAGAACTACTGTAGGGCTATAGGGGTGTGGGTGACAGATTTTGTAAGCAGGACAGCTCTGGTGCCGACCACATAGAAGACCACTGGGATGGGGCCCAGGAGGCCCAGGTGTGTGGGGCTTGGGAGGGGCAGAAGGGAGATCATGGAGGTCCTGCAGGTCCAGGTGAAGAGTCTGAGGGGACTTAGGGAGGGGTTGGGGGGCAGCTGTTTACCAGCTCATTCAGAAATCTGATATTTTAACACACCAGGGCCCTAATGTGAATATCCACAGAGTCGGGGCTCAAATCCAGCCTCTTTGCCGATAAATCCAGCACCTTTTCCTGCAAGAATACAGAGTGTGCCTGGCTTAGCTGCCAAGACGCTCTCACAGGTACTCAATGGGTTTGGCTGACACTGTGGGCATCCTTAGCGACAGATGGAGTGAAGCAAAACAGAGCCCTGCCCTGTTTAAAATACAAGGCTCTGTACTCAGCCCATCTCTCTTTTTCCTTTTCATTCCCCTAAACCACTTGATTTAAATCCCCAGCTTTTGCATTAACTAGCCAGGATAATTGACATCTCAATGTCTCCCTTTCTTTGTCACCCGTTACTAAATATACATTCTCTTCAGCAAAGTTTTCAGATTGACTGCTCCTGACAGACAACACAGATTTCAACATTTACACAGAAGTTGTCTGTCAAAAAAAAAAAAAAAGAAAGAAAGGAAAAAAAATGTCCTATTTTAGGATGTCTCTTTACCTAAAATGCAGGAGAGAGAAGGAGGGAGGAATGTCTCCCTGTGCATAACAGCAATTTATGCCAAGATGCAGTCTTGCTGGAGAGGTTGCTAAGCAACTGCCTGGCAGCATGTCAGGGGGCAAAGGGGGATAGAAGGTAAGGAGGCACTGAGGCCTGGGCACTGCAGGATGCGCAGAGACCCACTGGAGACATGCACCCCCTTCTGGCTCCCCCGACAGCTGGGACAACTGGAGGGGTGATGGAGGGTGATTTTTCATCTCCATGGCCTTGAAACCAGTAAAAGAGTCAGCACCCAAAGCATGGCTTGGAGCGCAGCCACTGTTGCTGGCATTGTGTCAGCCATCTCCTGTGCAGTGGAATGAACTCAAACTCGGGAGTCCAGCAAAGCTTGGTTTCTTTACCCCTAAAGCACTTTAACTGCAGCTTTGTCATACCCAGCACGGGGTGGTGAGAATGATACTGTACTTTCCAGCTGCCTGCACTTACCTCCCTTACAGCACCCGCCGCGTTACACTGAAATGTCCTGAGCCATCTACCTGTGACTGGTGGGACCATGAGCTCTGAGCACAGGGACGACGTCTCCCTCATCCATCACTGCCCAGTGACTAGGACGCTGTCTGGAATACAACAGAGCCTCCTGAAAGAACTTGACCTTACCTGATCTGAATCAAGACCTCTGTGTGTCTTCTAAGACCACTCATGCTCCAGCTCCACTTACACGCCTGCCCTGCTCACCACGCATCCTTGTACCCAACCCCAATGTGACCATCTTCACTTAATCAGCACACATCTCCCTATTCCTGAATGAACTGTGGACCATGGTGCCCTCCCCACATTGACTTCTGGGTAGCTCCTACTCATCGTCCAAACCCCAACTCAAACATGGCCTCCTCCATGAAGGTCTTGTGGGAATTTACTTCCGCATCCAATCTGCAGGTGGAGAAGATGATGACAGGGATTACAAGGACTACGGCACACCTGAAACCCATTTTATATATGCATACACACACACACACACACACACACACACACACACACACACACACACAC